AAAAACGAGACCCAAAATCAAGAAATAAATGACAAAGTTGAAGTTTTGAAGAAAAATAATGGTACAGTTTTGCCCAAGGAGCCTTGTGCAGAACAGATTGTCAATAGTACTTCAACATCCAAGTCTTCTGAATTGAATAGAGGGTCTTCAATTTCCAAGAATCACTCAAAATAAACAATTAAATGGCAAAACTGAAGAGGTGAAGACAAATCAGAGTTCAATTGGATCGCAAAATCTCCTGTGGGTGTAAATCAGTCGGCGAATTCATCTAAAAATTCTAGTTCTGGAGCAAAAAATCGGCTCCCATTCTCCAAGAAAGGGTTTTTGGGATTTTTTTAAATTTGCGATCTAAGCTCTCAAGGTTCAAGATTCAACTATTTTGGTCAATTAAGTTCCAATTAAAATGACAAGGTCATTCAGTGACCATTAGTGAAACCGAACGTAACTTCAGTGACCGTTAGTGCAAGTTTTAAACTTCAGTGACCGTTTTGTGATTTTGACGTAATTTCAGTGACGGTTTGTGAAATTAAACCTAATTTTATTTAAGGCTTGTTTGATATATATTTTACGAAAAATAATTTTCTTGAGAATGTACGGTTAAAAAGTAGAGAAAAGATATGAACCTAATGTGTAAAATTATTTTATTTTGAGAATGTGTGGTTGAAAATGATTTGAAAAAAAAAAGAGTTTCAATAAATCTATACAAACTAGGGGCATATAAACTTGTTAGTAAATAATATTATAGTAACGTAATCAGGAGACTAAAAAAATTAATTTGTAAAGAGATACTTGAAAGAGAAAAGAAAAATATTAAATGAGAAAACAGTATTAAAAATTTGATAAATAATTAAAATTGTAAAATGTAACATCATTATATAGTTTGATTGGTTATTCTTAGATAGGAGTGTTTTGGTGTTACAAAAATAGTAAAATGTAACATCATTATATAGTTTGATCGTTAATACTTACAAAAATATTAGAGCTTTAATATGAGTGAGATTTGAAAGGTTAAGAAGAGAGAAAAATGAATGAAGAGAACCTAATCTATCTTTGTTAGACAAAGGGGTTATTTCATATCTTCTTCGACTTCCACTTTACGATAATCTTTTGACGATGCATTTACTATAAAATCTTCATCCGATGTTTTCTCACGTACAATTCTTGCATTTAATTTTTTATTGAAGATGTATACCAAACTCATTGGTAACTTACAAACAATAAAAATCTAAGATGAAGGCTTTTTACTATTTAGAAGTATGAAGCTATATTAAT